CCCCCCCCCCGGGCGCGCCCCCGCCCCGCCCCCCGGGCGCGCGGCCGCCTCTGCCCCAAATTGGTCTCAGGCACACCGTGCTCTGCCTTCTCCCCCGTGCGGGGCACACGCACAGCACCGAGCCCTGCACGAGCCACACCCGTTGTGAACCGGTCCAAGCCTCCGAGCCACACATGCTGTGGAACCGGCTCAAACCCCGTCTGGGTTCAGGCGGCCCTCACCCTGAGGTGCGCCCCCGGGGGCCGTGTGCACCGTCCTTGAGCACCCCGACGTCTCCCCTGCCCCGCCCGCAGGTCCACGCCGTGTCCCAGCGTGAAGCACGGTGACGAGTGGGGTGAGCCCGCGAGGTGTGACAGTGGGGACAGTTGTCAGTACTGCCATTCCCGCGCGGAGCAGCAGTTCCACCCGGAGGTGCGAGCCCCAGGCCAGGCCCACAGCGGGTGGCTGGGGGCGGGAAGGGCGGGTCTCCTGCCGGTGTCTCTGGGTCCCTGCGAAGCTCTCCGGTCCTGCTCTTCTCGGGGAGGATCCCAGATCCCGGCAGCACCGCTGTGTCCGCCCCGCGATTCAGGGTTTCAGGGGGCGATGTCGGCCAAGGGCGGGGCCTCCCCCCCTGGGCGGGGGCGGGGCAGACCAGGCACGAGCTCCCAGTTCTGACCTGTGGGGTGGCACGCGGCCTTAGCGTCCGGGGTTCTCCTCGGGGGTCGTGTAGACGCGCTGACCTCCGTCTCCAGCTGCCCCAGAGGCTGAGCCAACACCACGGGGCCCAGAGCCCCCACCAGAAGTCATGTTGTGACTATTCGGGGCGGCCCCAGACCAGGTAAACAGACACCTACCAGCCAGGCCTCCCCCCACCCCACCCCCGGAGCTGGTCAAGGCCAGCCCTTCCTTTGGCACCAGCAGGGTGCAGACAGTTGGAAGTTAATGCTTGGATTTGTGTTAAAAACAAACCAGTAAGGGGCGCCTGGGTGGCTCAGTGAGTTAAGCAAATGACCGGCTCGGGTCATGATCTCACGGTTCGTGGGTTCGAGCCCCGCGTCGGGCTCTGTGCTGACGGCTCGGAGCCTGGAGCTGCTTCGGATTCTGTGTCTCCCTCTCTCTGTGCGTTTTCCTCACTTGCTTTGTCTCACTCTCTGTCAAAAAAAATAAATAAACGTTAAAACAGCAGACCAGCCCTCTTCAGGTTTGGGAGGGTGTGGGGACCAGGGTGGGTGGGGGGCAGGCCTAGAGGGGGGGCCGCTGGCGCACCTGCCGGGGGGGGGGACTGGCGGGGGCCCGCAGGGACAGGGATGGAGCAGTCATGGCAGAGAGCGGGTACCGGGGGCAGGTCAGTGCCCGGGCCCGTGAGGGGCTGTGCCGGCCAGTCGGGAGCAGGAGGCGCCGGGTTCTGGCCGACGTCTGCTCCTGGCGCGAAGCACGTGCCGCCCAGGGAAGGGGCTGAGCAGCGCTGGGCAGGGCCCGCCTGGGCCGCTCCTAACTCTGGCGAAGGCCTGGCCTTCGCCGCCTGCCTGTGTCCCAGGCCCTGTGATTGTCTCGGGTTAGGAGGTTAGTCTTCCGCTTCCTTTGCTGACTGTTCGCTTGTTCGCTCATCCGTTCAGTGTCTAAGACTCCGAAGCCGCGCTTGCTCACGCCAGAGGCGTGTAAAGAGTTCCGCCTCCACTGCGGCTCTGGGGCCCCGAGGTCGCTGTGTCCCCGTGCACCTCTGCGGCCCCTCCAGTACTGGGAACGCTTAGCCACTTCCTAGGCGGGCGGGGGGGACTTAAGGAGCACAGGACGCTGAGGATTTCAGCTTCGCTCTTTACGTCCCGTGAGCGGTTCAGCCTGGACACGTGACTTGGTGGCACTATTGGGACTGTCACACATGCTTGTGCCCCGGGCCCTGCTGGTACTGTTTGTTTGCAGGTGGCACGGATGCGGGGACGTGTTGCGGGGCACCACGTGACCTCCGGGCTCTGCCATCTGCTTTCCGGCCGCAGGCCCAGCGGCGTCCGTGCCCTTCTGCGAGGCCGAGCAGGGCGGAGCCCAGCGCTGTGCCCAGTGAGGCTCTGGGCTCCCGGGAGGGGCCGCCTCTCCTCTACCCTCCTGTTCCCTTTGAGATTCTGCTGTTCAGAGATTCTGTGCTTTAAGCCTCATGTAATGTGACAGCCTCCTGACGCTGTACGTTCTGAGTTGCAGCCCTTTTGAGATTGCGTTTGTCTGAGGGGTTTAACATTTCAGTGCCGGCGCTCAGCGGGTGGGTGAAGACCCCAGGGAGCGCGTGGCACGTGCGGGGGGAGCAGGGCAGGTGGCCGGGACGACTTCCGGGGTGTGGATTTGGGGTCTGGCGGAGCGCGGACGGGCCTGGCGTGCTGTGCGGCCAGAACCGAGTGTGGTTGTCGTCGTGAGAGTGTCTGACTCTAGAGAAAGGAACGGGGCTGGTGGTGGCGTTCGCGCGTGTGGCCGTGACAGAGACGTTGTCGAGTGCCTGCTGTATACTGAGCACTGAATTGAGTGTCTCAGAAAATCCTAAGTGGCAAGCTTGACTTTGTGTGTGATTTTTTTTTTTTTGTTAAGTTTATTCATTAATTTTGAGAGAGACAGAGAATCCCATGTGGATTCTGTGCTGTCAGTGCAGAGCCCGATGTGGGGTTCATTGTTGAGAACCATGAGATCCTGACCGGAGCCCAACCGACTGAGCCACCCAGGCACCCCCATGTGTGATTTCAAGGACAGCCAGGCCTGCTCTGCGGAGAGGAGAGGATTCTGGGGCCATGGCGTGTGGGACAGGGGTCGCGTCCACACCCCCTTTCCAGCAGACACGTTGCGGTTTGGAGCTGGGTCCTCTGGGTTCCCGTGGAAACCCACTCCCAACCAGCCCTTTGTTTTGCTCTTCGATTGTATTTATCGTGCTTTCTCTCTGCTGCCCAGATCTACAAGTCTACGAAGTGCAACGACATGCGCCAGACTGGCTACTGCCCGCGGGGCCCTTTCTGCGCCTTCGCTCACGTAGAAAGTAAGTGTGTGGCGCCCCATCGCCCCATGGCTCGCAGCCCCCCCCAGGCTGCCCGGACGCCTGGGGAGGGGGGGCGGGAGCTGCCCGCTTGCCCTTCAGGGTCACATCAGGCTGCCCCCGTCCAGACGCCACCCTGCCTCGTGGCCGGCGCTGCGGTTCCTGGGGACAGCCACCAACTCCAGGTCGCCCTGCCCCAGATTTCACCGGGAAGGGCGGCCAGTCCCTGCCGCGCTTCCACATCTTTCTGTGGCGCCGTGGCCGCCTTCCCCTGTGGCGTGGGGAGGGTGTCATCAGCGGGCTCCCTCCCCGGTTTGGGGCCCCCTGGACCCGAGGCCGCCCGCACGCAGCTCCGTCTCCAGCTGGCGCGCGCTCACGGCCCGCCGCCTCCCTCTGTTGACAGAGAGCCTCGGGACGGCCAACGGCTGGGGCTGCCCGGCGCCCGCCCGCAGCTCCGCGGCCAGCAGCGGCCCGCCTGCTCACGTGAGTGGACGGCGTCCCGTGGAGGGGCTTCGGGAACGGCTGGGGACGCGGACGGGCGTGGGCTCTGGGTGACTCGGCCGCACGGTCTGCCTGGAGGGCAGGCGCCTCCTTCTAGAAGCCTGCGAAAGCCCCGTTGAGCTCTGGCCGGGGCCGGCCGCCCCAGACACGTCGCCAGCACGTGAAACAGGCTCTGGGGCTGAGCGTAGGGAAGGGGCCCTGCGTCCGGGCGGGTGTCCTCACAGGAGGGTGGTCGTGGCACGAAGGGGGGCGTCTGGGCGGGGCAGGCCCTGCAGGTCTGCTTCAGGCGTCGGGAGATGCGGGGGTGGGGGGCACCTCGGGGAGGATGGTCCTGACCCGGCCAGACCTCGCGTGTGTGAGGTGGACGACACGGGGGCCCCCAGGCCTGGTGCCCTGCCCTTCAGCCCGGCGGCGTGGCGGGCTCCCCTCGTCGGCGAGAGGAGGGAGGTGGCTCCCGGGTGTTGATCTGCCACGAAGGCGTTCCCTCGGCCAGGAAACGAGGCTCAGGCACCTCCCCATCCACCTCCCTTCCCGCTCTCTGCTTTTCCTCTTTAACTTGTTATGTTTAAGTACACTTTTTTGTTAAGTTACTTATCGAGAGAGAAAGAGCGAGCGTGCGCGTGAGCAGGGGAGAGGCATAGCGAGAGGGAGAGAGAACCCTAAGCAGGCTTCCTGCTGTCAGCACAGAGCCGGACTCCGGGCTCGAACCCACAAACCAGAGCTGACATCACAAGTCAGACGCTCAACCGACTGAGCCACCCAGGCGCTCTGCCCCCGCTTGGCACTTTTCTAAAGAAAAGAGAGAAAAGAGGGAAGGCGAGGAGAGCTTGGCTGGACTTTACGGACAAGGAGCCGGGCAGGGAAACGCCGGCTGGCGGCCTGTCCTGCGCCTCCTGCGTCTGTGGCAGGAGGCGGCACAGCCATCGTGCGTTCCAGGCGGGTCAGCGCGCCGTGTCCCCGCCCCCCGCACGCGGGCATTCACGTCCCCTCCCGTGACCACAGAGCCTGAAGCGCAGAGAGATCGCGGGCCTGCTGTGTCGCTGCAGTCCTGGCTCTGGAACACCGAGGGGGCCCGGCCTGACCCCTCCTCGCCCCAGCGGTGACCTCGCCCCAGCGGTGACCGTCCCTGTCACGGGCCTGTCCGTGAGGCCGGGCAGCCGTCCCCCTGGGGGGACCCAGCAGAGGAGAGCTGTGGACCCCCCGGAGCACAGCAGGGCGCTGGGTGGGGCAGGAAGCTCCCCTCCCCCATCTTTGTGGCTCCCCGGGGGGCGGGGGATGGTGGCAGTTGCGGGCTTAGGTGGTGGGCACGGGCCACTGGCTCACCCCCCCCCCGGGGCCTGGGGTGAACAGAGCCCCCGTGGGGCAAGCTGCTCAGCCCCACGAGGCCTCTGTTCTGTGCTTTTCATTATTTTGAAATTTAAAAGCCCGATCTGCTAAGGGCCCCTGGTGGCTCGGTCAGGTAAGCTTTTGACTCTAGATCTGAGCTCAAGCCTTGATCTCAGGGTCGTGAGTTCAAGTCCCCTGGCTCATGCCCGGCACGGAGCCTACTTACAAAACGCGGATGGGGCAGAAAAAGTCAACCTGGAGGACACGATGGGCGGCGGGAGCCGGGCTGCGGCGCGTCCCCTGCTGGTGGAGACGGGAGCCGCAGGGTGCTGGTCACGCCGCCTTGTAAACGCGCTCGAAGCCCTTGCGTCCTTCACTTGGAAGCGATTATGCTCGTAGGCGTTTCATCTCCGTCAGAAGTAAGGACGAGGCAAGCAAGCGCTCTGTCGCTTTGGGGCCCTCGGCGCACCCGGTCGGGGGTCTGACTTGGCCCCGAGCCCTGGGTCTGCTCCCCGAGGCCTCCCGCTGCAGGGGCCCCTGGAGGCGCCAGGTGGGGCAACCCCAGGGCACCGGCCCCGAGGAGGCGATCGTGCTGGCGTAGACGTGGTGTGGGGAGGGCCTCTCGTTCATTGCGGGCCAGTCCCTCCCCCGACCCCCAAGGATCGACTGCAAACCCCGAATCTTGATGTGCGCATAGCGCATGTCCCCTGCCGCGTTCTTTTCGGTGCAAACGGTCTGTAAATGGCGTTAAACATGAGAACTGCGAGCCTCTGACGCGCGCTTACAGACCTTCTCCGGCCACGCGCCCGCCTCACTGCGTTTGCGGCCCCTCTGGGGGCGGCGTCCTGGGCGCCGGACTCTATAAGGCTTGGGATCCCTCCGTTACCAGCGGGCGGGGGAGGGGCGCAGCGTCTCCACAGCAGGCTTTGGGGCTGGCTATCCGCGTGTCGCGTGCCTCAACGCGACCGTGCTGTGAGATAGAAATGCCTGTTGCGCTCTGACCCCGGTTCCCGACACACAGCCCCTAAAACCCTCGTTTCCTGGGGGTACAAACATCTGGTGTTGAGGGTGCCTGGGGGGCTCAGGTCACGATCTCGCTATCTGTGGGTTCAAGCCCCACCTCGGGCTCTGTGCCAACATCTTGGAGCCTGCTGGGTATGCTCGCTCTCCCTCCCTCTCTGCTTCTCCCCTGCTTGTGTGCTCGCTCGCTCAGTCACTCTCTCGCGCACTCTCTCTCCCTCAACATAAACTTAAAGGAAAAAAAAAAAAAGATTAAAAATCAAAACCTCTTCTGTGTTGTGGAGGGGACTCTGGGTGGGCTCCTCATATCTCGTGGATGGGGGCCGCTCGGCAGAAGGGCCGAGCGTGGTTAGAAGCTTGGAACTCTCTGCACCGCCCCACGTGATCCCAGGGCGGGCAGGGGCCGCAGACGGAACTCCCCGGACGAGCCCCACCCGTCCTCGCAGGGTGGGCGCCCCTGCGCTCGGGCCCCCGACTTCACCCGCCGTGTCTCCGTCCGCCGTAGTCTCTGCCGTAGTGTATGTTGTATGATAAATCAGTAAGTGCTTCCCTGGGCCCTGTGAGCGGTTCTAGAAAACGGCCAAACCCAAGAAGCGGGTGGTGGGAAAATCCTGATTCGGGGCCAGTTGGTCAGAAGTCTAGGTGACGGCAGGGGGCCGCTGCAGTGGGGGCGTCTTCAGGGGCTGACCCCAAGCTGACCCAGCCCCAGCAGCAGGGAGCCCTGGGTTGCGAAGGCAAACAGAACGGTTTCAGGATAATCGTGCTTCACGGTATCACTTGGCCTGGAAGTACATTCACATCTGCGGCCAGTGACTTCCGAGCCCCTCCCCCCATGCTGCAGGTGGGGTCACCCCTGGACAAGAGAGATACGGGGAACCCTGAAACATCAGGATGACCTCCGGGTCGAGTGCCGTGTATAAGGGGCCCCGGTCGGGGCCTGCGTGGACCCCTTTTCTTCCTCCTCTGCGTCTGGTGTTCACTCTGGGTCCTTCTGCAAACCCAGAAGCCAGAACCTAAAGGGAGAAGAAAGGCCAGGCCAGGCGGACCTGAGCCACCTCTGCAGGTTCACGTGTTGTAAAATTAGTCATAAAAATGCGACGCTGACTTTGCCCTTCGATCTGAACGACCCCTGGGTCTGCGGCTTTCCTGCTCATGCCTGACCTGGGGGAGCACTGGTGCCCCAAGCGCTCGGAGCGGAGCCGTCATTGGGCCCAGGTTTCCTGGCAGGTGGCTCCTCAGTCAAGATTTCTGTCTGTGTCCGCGCGGGACAGATGATCCCCTCCACCCTTTCATGTTCAGTGCAGGGCCTCTGCAAATTAAACCGATACAAGATAAGCAGGACAAAAGGCTTATTGCTTGTCCGTATGGAAGGTTTCACGCAGGGGAAGTAAAGACCCCTTTGGGTCTAAGCAGTTAGACCTGGCGGCTTATGTCCCCTTTACCAGAGAGTGGGGATCAAGGGGGAGCCGGACTAAAGGAGTTTCTGCTCCTAGGGAGGTGAACCGGGGGACGGTAAATGTAGGGGGAAGAGGTGTCGGATCAGGGGTACGTGGACGCAGCCCGGAGTGTCGGGTGGCTGAGGGTCGTCCCCCTGCCGGTGTGGGAGAGGCGAGGGGCGCCCACTGTCAGCAGTTTCAGGGGGATGATCCTTTGCTTCAGGAGAGGCTTCCCAAGACTTGCCCAGCTCTCCAGGCTCAGGTCCCACGACCTCTGGTCGCAGGGGGTGCAGGTCTCACACCCTCCTTCACGCGCACCGGCCTGGAGGTTAGAGGTCAGTAAGCAGGTGCGAGACGGACGCGGGAGAACGGACGGAGGGCGGTGACTTGAACGCCTTTTCTGTTTGCCGAGTTCTCCGTCGGCGCATTTGTAAACTGTGCCGCTCTGTGCCGACGCTGGTGCTTTTCTGTTGCAGGCGAAGCGGAGGGAGTCCCCTGCCGAGGGCAGCCACAAGGCCGCTGAGCAGGACAGCAAGCAGGTACCGCCTGGAGGCTCCGTCGTGCGCTGGGACTCGCGCTTCCCTCCCGACCCGGAGCCCTGTGCGCAGCGTCCGTGCCGGGCGTAGCTCGCGTTTCACTTGTGTTCTTCTTAAACCAGCCCGCTCCCCGAGTCCCCTGTCTTCACGTCCAGAACACGTTCGTGGTGTTCTTTGGACACAACAAAACCAAAACCTCCCAATGTTTTCCTCCGGGGAGTAAGGGGCGCCCTCCGCCGCCGTCCCTGTGGCCTGTGTGTGGCCGGGCGCTGCCCTGACTGCCCCGCGGATGGGGCGGCGCCAGCCACTCCCCGTCCAGAGCCGGGCGTCCTCACGTTGGGGCCGTGGGGTCGGCACTCCGAGGCCACGTGGGAGGTGCCCGTCCTCGGCCTGTACACGGCCAATGACTGCCCGTCTCGTTCTGCCCCCACCGACCCCCTCTCCCCCAGGTCCGGGTGTCTCCCCATTTCCCCCTTTTCATAACGTCACCGCTCACTGATTAGGACGGCTTCGTCTGAACTTGATTTCCCTGGTAAAGACCCCGTCTCCAGGTCAGGTCACACTCCAGGGCTCTGGGGGTCAGGAGCCCGGGAACGAGGGGACGCAGTGCAGCCCGCCGCCGCACCCAAGCTCTCCTGGGCTGGCCTCTCGGGGCTGCAGTAGAGACTCGCCGCTCCCACGTCACGGCCCGGGGCCACGTGCACGTCTGAGATCGTCACAGGCCGGAGCTGCGTCGTCCGTCGCTTCCTCTGCGCGTGTCGGCCCAGGGCCTCTGTTCTCTGACGCAGCTCCCCGAGGCTCTCCGCGCCCGCCTGCCCGTGCTAAGGAACACGGCCGTCCTGGCCGCACTGCTGCCCGGCCCCGGCCCCGGCCCCATCCGACGAGGCCCTGAGCCTCCGGACAGCCGGGGGCGCGGTGCAGCCAGGCCGCCGAAGCCCCTCCCGGCCGAGCACATCGCCACCTGTTGGTGGTCCTTCCTACGCGGGCGGCACGCCCTGGCCCCTTCTGCCACCCCCTCAGGACCCTCCTGACGTGCTCTCTGCTCTTAGGGCCTGAGGCCCGCAGGGGAGCTGAGGGCGGGCTGCAGCTTAGTCATTCTGCCACCTGTTAAAGACATTAAAGTGGGTTAGAGCTTCATTCCAAACCTGAAGCAGGAAATGTTAGCAAGGACGCAGCCAGCGCGGGGGGCAGGGAGCATGCCCGGCTCATCTGCGGGCCCCTCCCGCCTGCGCCCAGAGACACCCTCCATCCCACCCCGAAGCCAGGCTCCAGGGACAGCGAGGGCGCAGCGGGAGGGCCGGAAGGCCAGCGGAGAGGCTCCACGGCCCCCGCGTCTCCCCGCAGCCCTCCATTTGAAAGGTTGCGTGGCTGGAGATCAGCCCTCTGGGGACCCCTCCCTGGCCAGTCTGCTCCAGCCAGGCGACGCCCCAGCTCCTCCATCCCGGAGGGTGTCATTCTCCGTATTCACGATGCAGTGCCTCCTGACATCTTTGAGGGACGTGGTCCTCTGCACTGCGACTCTTTGGGTGGGTGAGGTCACAGCGGGCACCCGTGGCCCCTGGGCAGTGTGTGGGGGTGGCTGTGACGTGCCTCGGAGTGTCCTCGCTGCTGCCGCCCTTCCCGAGGGGCCGGATGTGCACCTGCCCCGTGGTGCGGAGATGGCCCACCTCCGGCCTGGGCCCCCGGAGCGCTGCCGACCTTGCCGTCCAGCCTGATGCAGTTTGACATCACCACAGCCTCAGGCGCGCACTCCCGGCCCGTCTCAGGGTCTGTCACTGGGGCCTCCTGAGCACTGCCGGCCGATGGGGACACGGGAAACTCTCAGAGGAACTCTGCTGTGCCGCATTCCTCTGTCACAAAACCTGTGTGTGTGTGTGTGTGAGAAATTTCACTTAAGCCAACAAACTAGTAAAATCCTGCCCCCCTGTGGTTGTGCAGCCACCCCCCCCCCCCCCAAGTGAACTCCTGCCTCATTTTGAAGCAGAAACCAGACGCCGCACATTTGCCTTCCACGTGGCTCGGGGCCCTGGTCTCAGAGCGACGGTGGGTGTGGCATGGACACAGCCGCGTGTGGAGCCCCGGCCCTGGCCTGCAGCTCTGTCCTGTCGGGTCGGTAGACGGCTGCTCCCCGGGCACAGCACCGCCCGCGCGCTGGCTGTGTCCTGGCCCGGCTGGCTCTTCTTGTCTGTTCCATCGCAGATCAGAGAACGCGCGATGCCCAGATTTTACCCGAGTGCCGAGCCGAGGAGCGAAAACCTGAGACCGTAGAGCTGGTTTTCCCTTCCCGGAGGCTCTGTTGTCTATTTGTCTCTTTTTTTTTTTTTTTCTAAATAGACTCTCTTTTACTGTTTGAGAGACAGAGAGAGAGAGAATCCCAAGCAGGCTCCGGGTAGCCTGACACGGGGCTTGATCCCACGAACTGAGATCGTGACCTGAGCTGAAATCCAGAGCTGGACATTTAACCCGCTGAGCTCCCGGGCGCCCTCCTGCTTCGTGGGTTGTTATCCTAGATCAGCTGTTGGAAACCATTTCTGCAGAAAAGCTCACTGGATCAGACACTTTGTAGCTGCATGTGTTCAGTTGGGGGTGTGGGGGAGGGGGAGGGGTTAGCCAACAGTGACTCCGCCCATCCCGCTGATCGCAGCGGCTCAGCACTGAGAGAGTCAAGCTGCTTTATATTTTGCTTTGGGATAGAAGTCGGATGACCGCCCCGTCCGTGAGTGCGCGCTGCCGGCCTCCCCCGTGTCCACCATCACCGCGCCGTCACAGGGCTCTTGGGTGTGCGCAGCCGCTCACCTCGTGTGTCTCTGCACAGAAGCACCTGGCCGTGTCTGCGGTGGCCCACCCGCTCGCCCCCAGCCTGGGTTCCAGCGTGGCGTCCAGCGCCGGCTCCGGCAGCTCCTCCCCGGCCGCCCTGCCCACGGCCCCCCGCGCCCACCCGCCCGAGCCCGCCCCAGGTAGGTCTGAAACTTCCCTCTCGTCTCCCCGACTTCTCTTTGCACTTAGTTGTGTATTTTCAGGAAGGATCTAATTCAGGACACGTTGTAGATGCATTTTGGTCGTTTGTCACTTCGCTGTGCTGCCCGTGATCTGGAAACCCTGTCCCCTGCCTCTCTGAGAGTCACAGGCTGCAGAGGGGACTGGAGCCGTGGGCCAAGGCCGCCGCCCCCAGGCGCTAGGACCAGGGTGGAAGGGGCGTGGGGATGTGGCCGGCTGAGGGCCCTTAGCCCCCGGGAGTCCTAGAGGGTTTGGGGACCGATGGCCCAGGTGATCGGAGGCAGGCTGGGGGGAGGGGCTGTCCTGAGAGCCAGGAAGAGGGGTGGGTGTGGAGCTGGGGGGAGACCTGTGCAGGCCCCTGGCCCCTCAGGCCACGTCTGGCCACACCTGCAGACGCTTGCGTCGCCAAGCCTGTCCGAGCCCCCATCTCTGTCCGTTCAAAGGGAAACTCGGCAAGGGCTCTGTTTGTGGCGCCTTCCACATCCTCCGTGCTGGGCTGGGCTGGGCAGGCGTGGCCGCGGGTCCTAGAGCACACGTGTCCTGGTGCCTTCTTCCTGGTGCCGGTGGACGCCGGCTCTGCATGTGTTTCTGCGTCAGTGCACAACCTCGGCTCCAGGCAGTGATCGCATGCACGTTGTTTCCCATCCCCCAACACCTGTGGACGCCGGTGAAGCCACCAGCAGTTGGGCCGTGGCTGAGATGTATGTTGGGGACGACGCCAGCCAAGGCGAGGGAGGAGAGGTGTCCTGTTAGTGGCCATTTAGACAGCACATCCTGGACTTGGAAGGGCCATCAGAGCACCTGGCGTCCCTCGTGCGGATGTGAAGGACGCTGGGCAGGTGTGCGTGACCTTGCTGCCCGTGTCTCGGCCGCCTCCTGGGACGCTTCCACCGATGTGGGGCTCCCACCCCTGTGCTCATTCTGAGTAGATGCCGCAAAGGGCTACTTCTCTAGAAGCCCGGGCGCGTCTCCCGCACAGCCCACAGTCCTGCGTGGGCTTCGCTGCGGGCTGTTCCGTCTGCCAGAGAATCCTCTGGTGTCCAACTTGCCCAGCCCTCGGGGGGGGGAGGGTGGGAGGGCGTCCTTGACGAAGCCACCCCTCCCCCTGCTGGTGCTGCTGAGCCCTGACCCTGTTTCCTTGCCCTGCACAGTTTCATGCCCCGCCCCCACCCCCACCCTGTGCTCTGGTCTTTTGTGGAGATCCTGTCCTCTTGACTCCTGCCCGGGCTCTGCCTTAGACTCGGGGAGTGGTTCACGTCCTTACATGCTTCGTACGGCACATCCTGTAGGTTCTCTTTTAAGCAAAAGTAGAATGGGTGCATTATTTTACGTTGACTTGGAATTGAGGAGGAGTGAGGTGTCCTTCCTGCACCCCTTTACCCCAGAGGCCTTTGGGTGCAGGGTCCTGGGCTTACATGCGCTCGACTTGGCTGATGGGCTTGAGAACTCAGCCCTCAGACTCAGGAGCGCTGATGGAGAGCAGAGGGCGGGGCCGAGGTGTGAGGTCATGCTGCGCTGGTCTGAACTTGGGACGGGAACCAGCCGGCCATGAGCAGGTTCTCTGCCCACGCGCGGAGCTGAGCAGTTAGTTGTCAAAGATCGGAAATCTCAATTACACGCCTCTAGAGCACGTTCGATTCAAGGCACCCGGCTAACACTTAGAGGGAGACCCGTCTCGGTGGCATGGGGTGGGGGGGCGCTCGGCTGACACACGCGGAGGGAGACCAGGTGGCGCGTTCACACAGCAGTCCTTTGGTTACCCCCGGGAACTGATGTGGAAGGTCATCGTGCAAATGGCGTGCTTCATTTTGTTGTTCCATGTTATATGTGTAAAAAACACTTTTTTTTTTCTTTTTGGGGCGCCTGGGTGGCTTAGTCGGTTGGGCGTCCGACTTTCGCTCGGGTCATGATCTCGCGATTCGTGGGTTCGAGCCCCGCGTCGGGCTCTGTGCTGACTGCCGGCTCAGAGCCTGGAGCCTGTTTCAGTCTGTGACTCCCTCTCTCTTACCCTCCCCTGATCATGCTGTCTCTCTCTCCTAGAAATAAGTAAAAACATTTAAAAAAATTAAAAAAAAAAAACCACTTTTTAAAAAATAAGCCTAATTTCCCCAAGTTTAAAGGTAGTAATAGTAAAATGTGAGTATGGCAGGGAAGTACTTAGGTAACTGAAGCCGCCCCAATCAGGCAGGGCCGTCCTCGGCTCTGCTCTCCCGAGTGGACGATAGCACTCGATGCACCCGTGCCTCTGGGGCTGTGTGGTGACCCAGGGCGGACAGTGTCTGCAGCCGTTGTCCAGCCTTCAGGGGGTCCTCAGGCTGGTTGCACGAGTCACCATTTTGCAGTTTGTTCTTTCATTGACACGTTTCACAAACCGGGTACCCAGAGGTGAAGGGATTGAGTCCTGTTCAGGATCCACACGGTCTGTTCACAGAACATGGCTGCTGCTGGTAAATCATGAGCTGCTGCCACAGCAGGGTCCCCCTTTCTCAGACCAGTCTCCTGAGCCCCCGGGTCAAGTCGTGTCCCAGTAACAGGGGCCCCGGTTAGGAGAAGTGACGGACTCCTCAGAGCTGCCCTCTGGACCCGGAGGGCCGTTCTGAGCTGTCGTTTTGCCTCCGAGGACCCCAGGGCTCAAGGGCTCCTGGACCCAAGTCTGCCCTACCTACTTAGAGGCTGGCGGGTATAGACCGGGTCCTTTTCTGCTCGTAGTCTGGTTCAGGCTATCTTGTCACTAATGCACGGCTGCAAAGAACAAGTAAATTCTAAAATAAATAGGTCTGTTTCCAGATGAACTGTGTATGCAGTGGGTTTAGTGGAGCCATTTCAGGGCCATTTGACAGAGTCCGTTTCCTTTGCCTTCCCGCCCTGGGAGCAGGCTGCCCGTGGAAACAGTCCCCTGCAGAGCTGGCGGCCTGGAGTGGCCGCGGGGCTGCGGACAGCGGGCTCCCCGTGACCTCCGAAGGCAGAGGTCATGACTTGTTCATGCTGACGGCTCCCTTGTGTGCGTTTTCACCCGGGGGTCCGCCCCGAGCCAAGATCCTGCCTTACCTGAACAACAGCGGCCTGCCTGGCGAGGCCCCCGCGAGCACCCGGGCTCGGGCCTCGGGCTCGGCGCCGGGAGGGGCCCGTGCTGGGGCCGGGGGCTGCGGGGCCGGGGGCTGCGGGGCCGGGGGCTGCGGGGCCGGGGGCTGAGCGCGCACCTGCGGGCTGGGGCGCACGCGGACAGGTGCGGCGGGGGCGGGGCCAGGTACGTCATCGGGGGCGGGGCAGGCCCGAGGCCTACGTCACCCGGGGGCGGGGCGGCGCAGGGGGGGCGGGCCGCGGGCTGCGTTTGAATCGGCGGCGGCGGCGCGCGAGACGGTGAGTCAGCATCGTCGGCCCCGCGCCCTCAGGGTGAGGGTCGTCGTCGTGCGGAACCGGCTGTGCGTCCCCGGCGAGGTGAGAGCCAACCCCCGCGAGGCGCGCCAACCGCCCCACGTGCCACCTCCCTCAGGTGGGGTGCGCCCCCCGCCCCCTCGCGCTCCCCGGGGCGCCTTCCCCGCAGGTGCGCCCCCTTCCTCTGCAGGGGCTGCCCGGACCCGCTCTGGGCGCCGGGCCCGGTGCCGGGTGTGACCGCGGGGTCAGCGCCAGCTTCCTTGCGGGCTGTGCCGGGAGGCGGAGGCGAGCGTACCCTGCCCGGGAGCCCGCGCCGCCGAGGCTTCTCGCGGGGGCCCCGCATCCCCCGCCGCGGTGGGTCGCGCTCTCCCCGCCGAGGACCGTCGGCTGCACTCCGGGAAACTGAGGCCGCGGGGTGAGCGGTTTGCCAGGTGCGTCACCCTGCGGTCAGGGCAGGCCGGCCTGCGGCGGTGGGCGCGCCGGGGAGGAGCAGGCCCGGCCCCTTGTTCCGCCCTGGGTGCTTTGTCCCTGAGCGCCCCTTGACCCCGAAGGACCGCGACGCCTCTTGAATGTGCTGTGTCACGTCAGGACCGGGGTTTTGCCCGGGCCGTTACTCAGCAGCTCTCCCGTGATTTCTCATTAACATCTGGGCGGTTCCTGGTCGTCGCGCAAGGCGGGTTTTGGGTCAGATGGCAGAGCTTACGTAATTCGGTTCAGCTGCATTTTGAACGTTAAAGTCTTTTTAAAAGTCAATTCTTGCTTGAAGAGAATACCCCAGAAGACTCGGGTCTGACTCAGAGCCAGGAGGTGGAGTAGCTGCGGGGCCAGCGCCGGGACTGGGCAGCCGGGGGCCCCCGGGTGCGGGCTGTGCTGTCCTGTGAGGGCTGGCTCCTCCGTGTCCCCCTCCGGCCGGGGGCTCCTCTGTGCTGAGTCATGGGGTGGGGGTGGGGAGCATGATATGGTGAACCATTTCAAGGTGAGGAGAGGTTCCGGCTTCAGCCTCTCTTCCTCTGTGTATTTCTGCTTTTGTTGTCCAGAAAGTGGTTCTGGAACTTCGTTGGCGTTAAAGCACTCCACTCCTAAGCCGTCCTGTGACCCCAGGTGCTGAAAGCTGAATCAGCGTTGTCAGGCCTGGCTGACCTGCAAGTCCTGGAGGGAGGCCGGGGGCGGGGGCGGCGGCACACCAGGCCAGTGCAGTACTGGCCTCGGCATTCAGTGCCGACAGGTGGGGGGCAAAGCAGGTGGTGTGCTGGGGGGAGGGCAGGGCACTCTGCACCCGGTGCTGGTGCTGCATGAAGTGCCAAAGAGTCCCGTGGGTTGTGGGGCTGAGCAGGAGCTCTCTCAGGACGCTTCTGGAAGCCGCACCTGGCTGCCGCCGGATGGGAGGCTGAAGGGCAGAGGAGGAGCTGGGGGGTAGGGGCCTGGCCCCAAGTGTCCACCAGGGCGCCAGGGGCGTCTTCTTTTTGGACTCTTGAAGTGGCCAGGCTGACCTCCTGGAAAGGTCACTCTGGGGACAGTGCAGGTGCGGACAAGGCCAGCCTGCAGAGATGGCTGGAGCTTGGGGCCTCACCGGTGAGGGGTCAGGGAGGATGGAGGGACCGAGGGCTCCCGCCATGCTCCTGCTCAGTGTGTGGGCCTTGGCGCGTCCACTCGAGGAGGCACCCGTGTCCCGAGTTTGAGAAGCTGCCAGCAAGGCGGCCTTGCTGGGCCACGCCGGCCTCGGAGGGTTAGGGTGGCTGATGCAAGGCGCGTGTGCGTGTGGAGCCTACATGGGCCGGGCCACTGTGCTCCCCAGGAAGGGTGGGTGGGAGGGCTGAGGATTGGGCCCTGGTGGAGGAGGGAGAGAGACCGGGGCCTGGGTGCCAGCTGGAGGGCATGGCTTGGCAGTGGTCTGGAGCGACGTGGGAACAGGAGTCAGCGAGGGGCGGGCCGGAGAGCAAGCGGACCCTTCGACAGTTCACAGCGGCGGGCGGGGGTGGGCGGGGGAAGGGGGACAGTCTGGGACCCGCTCCTGTAGAAGGTGCCTATTGGGGCACTAGAGTCTGTTCGCGTCCCCCATTATCATGGGGTGAATTATGTGCCCCCAGAAGACGGGTCTTTGTTCTGCACCTCCCCCACCTGTCTGTGAGCGCGGCCGCGTGGACGCAGCCTCTGCAGGTGCAGTCAAGGTAAAGCGAGGTCATCGGCGTGGGCCCTGATCCAGCGTGACAGGGGTCCGGGTAAGCAGGTACTTTGGAGCCGACACGGGAGGGCGGCCATGTGACAGGGAGGCAGAGGGTGGGATGGGGTGTCCGCCGGCCCCCAGAAGCTAGAGTGCACCGTTGGAGGGCACCCGGCCATGCGCCCCTCGCCTGGACTCCGGCCCCGGGGCCGCAAGAACTTGTGAGCGCGTGCTGGGTCAGGCCCCCGGGGGACCGGCGGGCGGGAGGCGCCTGCTGTGAAGAAAGGCTGGAGAAGCAGGGGTGGGAGCCCCCCAAGGGGCCGGTCCCACAGGCAGGCGGGCGGGGTCTCCCCGAAGTGCAAGGGCTGCGGGTGGGGGGTTGCCGCTGTGGGTTCCCTGGCTCTCCCAGCCTTGGCCTCCTTGCTCTTCAGAGTGATGGGATTTGGGGGTGCCGGCGCATGGGGGCGTCTGGACCAGCTGCCGCCCTGCATGCTCACCTCCTTTCTGGAGGAGACCCTCGAGTGTCCCTAAAGCCTGTGTTGGAAGAGGGCAGGCCCAAGGCGGGCCAGGGTTCGTGCCCTCACAGCACGCCCCACTCGTGCTCCTGGCTGTGGCCGTGGAGTGGGTGCCGCAGTGGGGGTGAGACAGACCTCGCCAGGCGGCACAACATGCTTGTGCCCAGACACCGGGTCCCCACACATCCCCCTCACATGCCACGGAGGCCGGAGCCAATGGCTCACGGACGGCGGACGCGCCTGCTGCGCTCTGGGAACTTGAGCATTTGGCTGCCTGCAGGTGGCCGCTCAGCACCAGTGTCGGGTGAGGGGCTGTCCCTGTGGTCAGCTCAGGGGCCCTCTCGGGCTGAGCGGTGCCCAGCAGCCCTAGGGACAGGGATGGGAGGGTGCGGCTGGCGTCGCCCACTGGGGCGGACCTCACGTCTGCCCTGCACGTGTCCCCCAGCGAGCTCCCTGTGACCTGCGTGCACCTGGGACGGCCTTTGGAAGTCACGTGTCTCTTCCCCGCCCTGTGTTTCCCTGGTAATTATGGTAAATGCCCGTCATTTTAAAAGGTAGTAGGCTTTCTGCAGTCACTGGCGGTCGCTGGCAGGTTCAGCCTTGGCTCCTGGATTGTAACTCGGTCATTTGAAACAGGCCTGGCCTGCCGGCCGCTTCCTGGTGTGTGTCTGTCACGGCTGCTCCTGGGACACGGCCAGGAGTCTGGGCCCAGCCGGAGTTCGCGCTAGGGGCCTGGGGGGCAGGGCGGGAGGCTCCAGAGCCTGGCTCCTAGATCCAGAGCGGGCAGGCTGGCCCGGGGCCGGGTACTAGGTGCAGGCGCACTTGGGCTGTTTGCGCCACTGCCAGGCCGTCTAGACCCTGCGCGGGGCGACGGCAGCTCAGGCTCAGCGCCTGTTCCGGGGTGGGAATTAGCAGGCCTTCCCAGCCCTTGCCGGACAGCGTGCCCATCCAGGTCCTCTGGATGCTCAGCGGCTCCAACTTAGAAGCCTTGGGTGCTGGTGGGCCTCGGAGCTGGGGCGGTGTCAGGTGGGGACGGGGTGAAGGGAGGGGAGCCTGCTTGCGAGAAAGGGCTTAAGAGGAACTCTCTGGCAGTGGGAGCTCCAGGGGCCCCACGGTGTTGCGCTCCTCGCTCTCTAAGGGACGGGCCCAGAAAGCGCGCCTGTGCCGCCCCCACCCCCCAGCGGGGGCTCTGGCATCATCCCGCGGTGACACGTTTCATCCCCCAGGTTCTGCTCTGGACCTCCATCCTGGTGACATCAGCCTCGCGCCCCTAGATACAGAGCCGGAGGAGCATGACCCAGGTGACCTGGGACTGGCAGGTAGGGGTGCTGACGCCCTGCTCTTCCCGGGGCCGTGCTGGGGCGGCCGGGCTTTTTCTGTGCGGAGCCCTTCTACGGTTCTCGGAGGGGGGCTCCCAGCACGCTGACGCGCGGCTGGCCTCCCACCGTCTCTGCAGCCACCGCGTGGGCACACGTACCCTGGGACACCCTCTCCCCAAACGTCTGTCTCCCCTGCTAGGACAGTAAACCATGCCTGGGGGGCCCCGAAAGTCCAGGACCGGCATGCCCGGGGGTGGGCCGCCCCCCAGCTCGGAGGCCTGGTGGCGTGTCTGGCGGTCAGCGCTTCCCGCTAACTCTGTCCCCCCATCCGTGCAGGTCCGCGGTCGCCTGGGGGCTCGGCCCCCGTCACCATCCCAGGCCACCTGCCCCGCTCCCCGTCCCTGCCCTCGTCCTCCTCACTCTCCACCTCCCCGCTCAGCTCGCTCTCCCAGTCTCTGTCGGGGCCGCTCGTCTCTTCAGCCATGACGCCCCCCCAGCAGCCACCGACGCTCAAATCGGAGCCTGGCGCGCTGGGCCCCTCGGCTGCATCCTACAGCTCCTTAGGTGAGCCGGGCGCTGGCGGGGACGGCGGGGTGCGCGCCCCAGGGGGTCCCCTGTGCGGTCTGCAGGTTTGCTGGCGGTGCCTCAGGGCACGGAGCCCGAGACAACACACGGTGGCCCTGCTGTCGCTCGTGTGCGGTGGAGGGTCCTCGGGCCGGGGACCCAGCACAGACCGACACAAACCGCGAACAGTGCTTTTTCCTTGGAAAATGTTACCTCGCGTAACTTGTTGCATTTTAAAGGAGTACTTTTAAGTATCATTTTCATTTCTAACGTCACAAGCACGTATCCGTAGGTGTCATCCCAAGCTCTCTGGGGTCCTCAGGATCTGGAGGTGGAACAGGTTCTGGGCCCAGAGTTTGATGCCGCGGCGGTGCACCGCGACACTGCCAACTTCCCTCCTTTGTCTGCTTCAGCGCCCCCCAAGCCGCCGGAAGGGGCCCGGCGGGTGTCCTGGTCCGCCAAGCCCCGAAGGCTGCCGGGAAGGGGCCCCCGCAGGTGACCTCTCCCGTCCCCTCCGCACTCAGGCTTGAACGGCGTCCCCGGGAGCATCTGGGACTTTGTTTCCGGCACCTTCTCTCCCAGCCCGTCCCCCATCCTGAGCACCGGCCCTGCCCCCGCCTCAAGTGCCAGCCCGAACGGCGCGGAGCTGGCCCGGGTCAGGCAGCAGCTGGACGAGGCCAAGAGGAAGATCAGGCAGTGGGAGGAGTCCTGGCAGCAGGTGAAGCAGGTGAGGAGGGGGGGGGGGCGCAGGGCCGAGGGAGAGGGTGCAGGCGCCCGGGGGCCCCCCCCACACCCGCCGCTGCAGCGCAGCCCCCTGGGTTTCAGGCCTGTGACGCGTGGCAGCGGGAGGCCAAGGAGGCCAAGGAGCGGGCGCTGGCGGCCGACAGTGCGCGGCAGCAGGCGCTGCGGAAGAAGGAGGAGGTGGAGGCCCGCTTCCGGAGGCTGCAGGAGGAGCTGGAGGGCCGCGGGCCGGGCCCCACGCTCGCGGGGCTGCAGCGCTGTGCCGACCTGGGCGCCGTCCCGCTCCCCAAGCTGCACTCGCTGCAGAGTCGGCTGCGCCTGGATCTGGAAGCCGTGGACGGGGTGAGTACGGGTGGCGCGCGCGCCCGCGTATCCCTGGGCCCCCTGCCGGCTCTGCCCTCCAGCCCCGCCCCCTGACGCGCTGGGACAGCTCGCCTGCTTCCACGCAAATCATCCCCTCCACGCCAGGGCCTTGTTAAAACCTGGAGCATCGGAGGCTTCCAGAGCCCTCTCACACCCTCTCCCCCTCCGCTGGCCTGAGGCGCAGCGCCCTCCACCGTCCCCCCGCCAGCTCTGGCTGCTGTCACGGCCGGTGCGCATGGTCCCGGGTGGGGTCAGGATGCTGAGCCCAGTCCCGCAGGCCCGCGGGCCTCCACCCAGGCCCAGCCCGTCGAGGCGGCCACCCCTTCCGCACTGGTGCAGTAGCTCCGCTCCCCGGGCCTTAGCGCGAAGGGTCTCCCGCCGCCCTTTGTTCCCAGCGCCTGCTCCCAGGAGGGCCACCCTGACCCGCCGCGCGTGTCTCGCCCCACAGGTGATCTTCCAGCTTCGAGCCAAGCAGTGCGCCGTGTGCCGGGAGCGGGCCCGCGGCGGCGCCCTGCCCCCCTGTGCCTGCTGCGAGGGCCAGCCGCTCCCGTGGTGACCGCCGCGTCCCCACTGGCCCCTCGGGTGCCCCTGGGCCCCGGAACGACGTGGGGCTTGCCGGCCTGACGCACCGGGACCCCGACCAGCACTTTGTGAAGCAAGGGATTGAGACGTTCTCAGTTGGTGTAAGCTGCTTTCTAGGTTCGTGGTTTTTTATTACGCGGTGACATGAAGCTTTACGCGTACCGCGAGCTGAGGACGCTTCCTGTCCACTGGCTGTTTGTTCGCGGTACGGCACACTTTCCATTCCTCCTCTGAAACTAGTACTTCCGACATGAGCGTTTACCTAGTAGTGAGAAACGCCTAGGACTTTTTAATCGTTTTCAAATTAAGTGCAAACATAGTATTTATAGCAGTGAGACTAGAAGACACACATTTAGGATTTTAATCTTGTAAGAGGGACGCGCTCACGTGCACACCGACTGGAGTTTTAGGTCCCAGGACCACGAGGTGGCGCTGCGCCCGGTCACGCTCCCTGCACCGGGGCCACTAGTCTAAGTGCCTGAGCCTTGCGGGGCGAGCGGAGGCCCTGCCCTCAGGTTGTCGGCTCCTCCGGCTCCTCCGGCGAACAGCGAGCCTGGGGCCCGTGCTGGAGGCGGAGGCTTCCCGGGGAACCTGAGAAGGCCGCGCCTCCGCGCCCTCGGCCTCCCAGGCATCCTGGCTCCTTCGCGGATGGCGGCCGAGACCAGAGCCTTGCTCGTGCCCCTCCCTGCGGCCAGCGGGACGCCCGCCCGGGACCCCTGCCTGCAAGGGAGAGGCCCAGGTGTTACCAGGGTCACTCAGGGGACGCTGGGGTCGCAGGCCCCGGCCACCCAGCTGTGGCAGGCACGCTCCTGAGAAAGGTCTGGTTTCGGTGAAGACTGGAATCTTCTCTGGTCTGCACTGGGCCGTTTTTCCTAGAAACCGGGGGAGACACAGAGGCCGTGTGCAGTGCCCCCCAGACTCTGCTCTTCCTGCGGCCGTCTACCTGGCTGCAAGGCCTGTCCCGAATCTGCCGCTGGGGCAGGAGCGGCCACGGCCCACCTGTGGCTTTGCCAAAGACTTTTAATAGCATTTTTTTAAAGTGCAAAATGGCTCGGTAAAAATTATGTGACCAAATATTTACTATATAGTAAGAGGTTTAAAAGATTTTTTTTAATGTAAGACAAAGTGATAGTTCTGTCGTGTAAAGGCTGCGGCTTGTCCGCTACTAACGGTGACCATTGACTTGGTTTTAGTGAATCTACTTGGTTTTTAAGGATAGTGATGATGATTTATTAGCTCTTAGAAATGACGTATATTTTGTGCTACTGTTATCACTGTTTAAAATTATTTTTATTAATATTTATGCACTTGTTTCACATTTCAGACCTTTGGTCTTTGATGGGAAACAGAACAATGAGTTTATCGGGGGGTGGGCGGCCGGGGCGCTGTCAGGTAATCAACCGGGACCGACGTGTGCCCTCCCCATAGGTGGGAGGCAGGAGCGTCACAGGGGTCCCCGTGCGCCACCTGAGCGGGTCCTTCCCGCTCCATGGCTTGGCTGTGGCGGCCCTGGTGTCCTGCAGGCGCCCTCCCCACCCGCGGGGCCTCTGTGTCTCAAGTGGGAGTGGCTTTAGCCTTCACGGGGGGCGCGTGAGCCTCCTGCTGTTTGGGGACCAGGGGCCGGCAAGGAGACCTCAGGCCAGTGTGGACCCTTAACGCGGAATAATTTATGGAAGCCTCAGTCTATGTTCGTTCGGGGTATTTAGATGAGCTCGTTACTGGAATGAATTTTCTTAACCCAGAAGATAGTATTTATAATGCATAATCATTTACTCGTAGCAAACTGTTCAAAGTTAACACTTGTTTAAATTTTTTTACACTATAGCATTTATGCAATGGTTTACAGAATTCATGGAATTATTTTTATCAGTATGGGAATTAATTAAACCTTTGAATCTTTACTTTGTCTGCCTCTTTGAGCGGCCGGGCTCAGGTCACAAGGTGTCCCCACGCAGTCCCGGGTCGCCTCGTAGCTGCTCGGCTGTCCCGTCCGTGGGGCTCCTGAGGACCACGTGCTCAGAGCTGGTGGTTTCTGCCAGAACAGCGAGCGGCATGAGGGCGGCGCCGGCGACGGGTCCCCAGGCAGACAGGCCCCGCGCCCAGAAAGACTCACCCGCGTAGGGGATGCCGTGCTGAGTCAGCACGCTCCGGAGCCTCCTGATCTCCTTCGACAGTTCTTTGTGTGCCTGGAACAGGGCAGGTGAGGGCAGCGCCGTGGCCCCGCGGCAGGAGGCCGGGCCGGGGCGCCCTCACCCGTCTGTACCTCGCTGCAGGTCTCCAGGGTCTGGAACACCAGGCCCTTAGCGCCTCCTTCCTGCGCGGAGTCACCTTCTTCCGGGGGCTTTAAGTAGCCGGCCTCTTCAAAGAGCGCCCTCAGCAACTTCGCGTGGCCCTGAGGGCCGCGGGAGAGTGAGCCCCAGCTCCTGACCGCCCGTGCCGGGGGGGGGGGGGGGGGTGCCGCCCCGGACTCACCTGGGTCGTGATCAGCTCGTCAGCCAGGCTCTGCTCCACCCGGTCCCAGCGGCGCTGCAGGGCCGTGGGCAGGGCCGGGTACACTGCAAACGACCCAGCACACATGGGCTCAGCCGAGCTCCCCTGCCCCCGCCTGCACCCCAGGGGCGGCCCCCCCGGGTCCCACCTAACAGGGAGTGCGGGTGGCAGACCAGAGGCGTCTCGAAGGTCAGCGCGTAGACACAGGTGCTGGGCTCAGACACGTGCGCCAGGCGGTTGCTTTTCCCACAGGTGAGCTCCACCTGCGGGGAGGGCCTGGGTGGGCGGGTGGGGGCGGCGGGCCCCTCCCCCGGGGGGCTCCCACGCGGGCCCACCTTGCTCTGCCGGCTCCTGGCACGGCAGGAGTCGCCGTCCCTCATCCACATGCCCCGGAAGGTGTTGTTGGAGATCTCCCACTCGTGCCAGATGCTGGGGAGGAAGGGGCTCGTCAGGTGGGACGGGGGTGCCTGCTGGGGGCGGGGGTCCCCGCGAGCAGCCGGCCGCCCCTCTCACCCCAGGATCCCACTGTACGCATTCCAGCGGAAGGTCTGCTCGTGTTGCGTCACGTTGTGGAAGGGGCACAGCTCGTACTTGTACCTGGGGGCACAGCGGGCGTCAGGGCGGTCCCGGCGCCGCCCCGCCCCCACCCCTGCCAGCGGCGCCCCGCACTCACGTGGACTCCACGAGGCTGAAGCACTTGCCGGCGAGCCTGAAGAGGTGCGCGGGGCCTGGAAGAGAGCACGGGCCTGACGACGTCAGGAAGGCGTCCAGGGCGGCCCAGAGCAGCTGCACCCACCTCTGAGGGCGACAGCTGGCGGCCGCAGGACGGCTTCCACGCTCAGGCGGAAAGGTGGGTGCAGCAGAGCCTTACGGGACACAGGGAAGGGAAGACGTGAGAGCGGCCGCGCGCACAGGCTGACCGAAGAGGAGCCCGGCTCCCGACAAATGCCCGCCCGGGGCCTCGTCGGGGGGAAGGTGACAGAGCCGTGCCAGCAGCAGGGCACAGGTGCCAGGGAGCAATGCCGGGAAAGTCGGCACGTGAGCAGACGCAAGGGCGGGGGGGGGTCCCCGCAGAACCCCCAAGGTGACAGAGGGCGGGTGCTGCAAGCACACCTGGAGAAGGACAGGGCCAGACCCCCAGCAGGAAGGGGGCCGTTGGCGGAAGCGGCCTGCGTGCCGGAAGGCTGCGCGGTGAAGGAGACAGCCACCGACCAAGGGCTCTGCGCCCCGGAGACCCGCCCTCCGCCTGGGGACACGGGGGACGGCTGGGGGGTCCCGGTGCCCGCAGGGCGCCCCCCCCACTCTGAAGGGCGAAGGCGAAGACGCGGCCGCGCCACGGAGCTGGCTCGCCTGTCCTTCCGACCTGCCCATCCGCAGAAGGCGGACAGCGCGTCCCGACACCACGGCACGGCGTCCCCAGCGTCTGAGAGGTGATCGTGAGACGGACAGCGGGCCGGGGGCCGGGCCGCACGCTCGATTTTCTTTGTGACTAAAACTGACCAAAAGCTCCAATCGGATTTTAAGAACTTGACGTTATTCACCCCCGGAGCAGCTAGAGGAAAAGCGCCGTGGGCGATAAACACGGATACAAACTGGTCCAACGGAGGAAACGAGGGGCAGAAAAGCCACATGCTTCTGCCACCGTGTTTCCTTATACGTCTGCCTGAAGGAGTGAACTACGCGATGCGGCCAGGAGAGGAGACCCCCCACGGAGGCGCCGGCGGCGGTGAAAAGTGAGGGAGGAGGAGGGCGGCAGCGCCAGAGCGACTGTGCGCCAGCAACGGTCAGAAGGGACGACGGGCCTCCGTCCCAAGCCCGCCGGAAAGGACTACACTCACGGTTTCGGATCCCGGCACAAACCAGGAATCAACAGCAGAGGCAGAAGTGGGGAATGCACAAAAGTACGGAAATTAGAAAACACTTGGAGACACAAAGCAGGAGGCTGCAGAGCCCGGGCTGCACGGGAGCCCCGCGCAGCCAGCACAGCACGTTCAAGTACGAGGCCCCTGGTAACCTGGCTTCCACTCTCAGGATTAAAACGGGCAAACTAAACACACAGGCTGGGGGGGGGGGGGGGGCACCGGGGGACCTCAGTGGGTTAAGCACTGCCTTTGGCTCAGGTCGCGATCTCACGGTTCGTGGGTTCAAGCCCTGCGTCAGGCTCTGTGCTGACAGCTCAGAGCCTGGAGCCTGTTTCAGATTCTGTGTCTCCCTCTCTCTCTGACCCTCCCCTGCTCATGCTCTGTGTCTCACACAAATGTAAACATCAAAAATAAACAACACGAGGCCGGCAGAAGGAAGAAAACGCAGTGACGCTCAACAAAACAGACACGCGTGTCATCAGGCTGAGAACACACCCGCCAGCACTGAGAGCCCGGAAACCAGGCGCGGACGGCGGGGGGTGGGGGGCACTACCGGTCGTGCAGAAGGAAGGTTGCCAGAACGTGTGAGACTGTACACCACCCAACTGCTAACCTGTGCGACACGGGCAAATTCCTAGGAACGTACGCTGTATCGGCCCTTCTCAAGGCTTCCAAAACCCTTGAAGAGGTGGGGGTGGGGGGGGTCAGGGAGGAACACCCCCTTCACCGTGTGGAGCCAGCGTCACCAAGATCCCAAAGTCAAGAAGTCACAAGGAAACTACAGCTCGATGTCCATTCTGAACACAAGAGCAAAAAACCATCAACGCTCTCCCTCTCTCTAACCCTCCCCTGCTCACGCTGTCTCTCTCTCTCTCAAAAATAAAACATTAAAAAAAAAATTTTTTTTTAATCTGTTGGCAAAGTCACAAGATACAGACTTGACACTGAAGAAGCAGGTATGTTTCTGCACACTAACGACAACCAAAAAAGGAAATTTAAGACAATTCCTTTTATAAGAGCATCAAAAAGAAAAAGTTTGGAATAAACCAAAGAGGCAAAATACTTACACGTTTTTAGCCGACAAGATCGCGCCTAAAGAAATTAAAGATGTAAACAAGTGAGAGGGATCCGCTGCGTTCACGGATAAGACACGTGAGTCTTAAACGTGAACAGCTTCCCAAGTGACCAAATTCCAGGCGATGCTTGTTAAAGTCCCAGTAACATTTTGCAGAAATAGTAAAACCCATCCTAAAATTAAAATGGAATCTCAACCCCAAAGAGCCAAAACTATCCTGAAAAAAAGAAAAAGCAGAACACCTCAATCCCGGGTTGACAGCTCCCTGCAAAGCTGCAGATTAGAACACTGTGACCCCGGCACACAGAGAGGCAGGCGCGGCGGCGGCACAGAAAAGAGCCCAGAGGTAAAGTCCTGGACCCACTTCCACGTGACCTGACGTGGGCGCCAAAACCCACGGCAGGGAAAAGACGGTCTTCTCCGTAAATGGTGCTGGGAACCTACCCACGCCAAGGAGGGCGGCACTGGACCCTTCCTCTACACCGCGTACAAAAATAACTCGAGCGCCTGGGTGGCTTAGTCGGTTAAGCGTCTGACTTTCACTTAGGTCATGATCTCGCGGTTCGTGGGTTCGATCCCCGCGTCGGGCTCTGTGCTGACAGCTCAGAGCCTGGAGTCAGCACAGAGCCCGGAGCCTGTTTCAGAGTCTGTGTCTCCCTCTCTCTGACCCTACCCTGCTCGCGCTGTCTTGCTCTGAGTCTCAAAAAAATAAAAACGTTAAAAATTTTTTAAAAAAAGAACAGACACGGATGGAGAACATTGGAGCAGAGAGCCCAGAAATGAACACGCACACTTACGGCCAATTATCTCATGAGAAGGAGCCCAGACCTTACAGTGGGGACAGGACAGTCTCTCTGATAAACAGGAACACCAGACAAATTAGTCATTATGTAGTAAAGATGTGAACGTGAGACCTGAAAGCTCCTGGAGAACACAGGTGGGAAGCTCCTGGACATCAGCCTTGGCAATGAACTTCTGGATCTGGCAATAAAAGCAAATAGTGACCAGGAACTACATAAAAGTGCAAAGTTTCTGCGCGGTGAGAGACCAACAAAATGAAAAGGCAGCGTCCTGAATGGGCAAACATATCCATAAGCCATCTATCTGCTAAGGGGTCTAACGGCCAAAATACAAAGACCTCTCGCCACTCAACGGCAAATGTAAAACCCCCGTCCAGTCCGAAAGGGGGCAGGTCTGCACCCTGTGGTCCAGGGAAGACACCAGATGGCGGACAGGTACCTGCAAAGGCGCGCAGCAGCGATCCCCAGGGAAACGCAAATCAGAACCACAGTGAGCTATACGCCCCGCGCCCCCCCCCAACGTTAGAACAACTATTCTCAAATCCCAAGAGGGGCGCCTGGGGGACTCAGTTAAATATCCACCTTTGGCTCATGAACTCATGGTCTGTGGGTTTAAGCCCCGCGTCCAGCTCTGCACTGACAGTGCAGAGCCTGTTTAGGGTTCTGTGTGCCCCCCACCCAGTGCATGCATGTGCTCCCACACGCGCACACACACACGAAACAAGTGCCCGCAACGATGTGGAGAAAAGGGACCCTCGTGCACTGCTGGAGGGAATGCCAAGTGGTGCGGCCGGCGCGGAGATTCCCCAAAGAAAGATAGCGTGTGCCCCACCTGTGGGTACATAACTGAAGAGAAGGAAATTGCCACGTCAAGACGCCTGCGGCTCTGTGCTCACTGCAGCGTGGTCTGAGCAGCCGCGTGGAAGCGCCCTGTCCGTGGACGTGCACCGGGGAAGGAATGAAGAGGTGGTGTGTACACAGACAGCGGAACAGCGCGGCCGCGGAAGAGAAAATCCTGCTGTCCGCGACTGCGTGAGCGGCCCTCAGTGAGAGCACTGTGTCAGGTGACACCAGAGAAGGACAAATACTAGATGATGTCACAGGTGGAATGAAACAAATAAACCACTGGGGGGCGCCTGGGGGGCTCAGTCGGTTAAGTGTCCAACTTCGGCTCTGGTCATGATCCTGCAGTTCATGAGTTCAAGCCCTGCATCAGCCTGCTTCAGATTCTGTGTCTCCCTCTCAGCCCCTCCCCTGCTCTCTGTATCTCTCTCTCTCTCTCCTTCTCAAAAATAAATATTTTAAAAAAATGCAAAAACAGGAGAAGAGATCAATAAAACCAGAAGCTGGTTCTTTGAAAGAATTAACAAAACTGATAAACCCCTAGCCAGTTTGACTTAAAAAAAAAAAAAAAAAAAAAAGGAAAGGACCCAAATGAATAAAATCAAGAATGAAAGAGATAACAACCAACATAAGACAATATTATGAGCAATTATACGCCAATAAAATTGGTAATCTGGAATAAATAGACAAATTTCTAGAAACATAAACTAACAAAACTGAAACGGAAACAAAATTTGAACAGACCCATAACCAGTAAAGAAATCGAATTAATAACCAAAAATCGCCCAAAAAACAAGAGTCCAGGGCCAGATGGCTTTCCAGGGGAACTCTACCAAACATTTAAGGAAGAGTTAACACCTATTCTCTTGAAGCTGTTCAAAAACAGAAATGGAAGGAAGACTTCCAAACTCTTTCTATGAAGCCGGCATTACCTTGATTCCAAAACCAGACAAAGACACCCCTCCCCCAAAAGGAGAACTACAGACCAGTCTCCCTGATGAACATGGATGCAAAAATCCTCAACAAGATATTGGCCAAAGGGATCCAACAATACACTAAAAGATAATGATTCAAAACCTAACCAAAGATGTAGAAGATCTGTAAGCTGAAAACTATAGAAAGCTTATGAAGGAAAGACACAAAGAAAT